CAGTGATGGTGCCACAAACTGGGTTCCTGCCACCTCTGTGGGAGAGCTGGCTTGAGTCCCCGACTTCCAGCCTCAGCCTTGGCCCAGCCCTAGCTGTTGCAGATTTTGGGGGAGTGAACCAGCAGATGGGAGCTTTTACTCTACCTCTCAGACACATTTTTTGTAAATGACAGAAATTTGTCATTGTTTTGGAAGCTGAGAAGAGCAAGGAGCTGTCAGGTCTGGTTGTCTGGGGAGGAACCCTCCCACATGCAGAAGGGGGAAGGCAAAAGCCCTCTTTCTTTTTGGTAATTAAGGGACTGACTCCTAACATTATCACATTGGCAACGCCAGAGGGAACATCAAGACCATAGCAATGCTGTTTAAGATCCAACCTTATAATCTACCTTTCAATTGGGTTGTTTTAACACTTTTTTAAAAATGATATAATTATTTGAAAGGCAGAGTGACAGAGAAAGGGACGGAGAGAGGAAGAGAGAATTAAATAATCTTTGATCTCCATCACTCCCCAAATGGCCACGATGGCCAGGCCTGAGTCAGGCCAAAGGCAGGAGCCAAAACTCCATCCTGGCCTCCCACATGGATGGCAGGGGCCCAAGTAGTTGGGCCATCTTCCGCCTTCCCAGGAAGCTGGATTGGAAGCAGAGCAGCCAGGCCTTGAACCGGCCCTCTGCCTTGGCATGCCAACTCACTATACTGTGACACCAGTCCGAAACCATTGATGTTTAGTTATTAATGATGCAGTTGGAATTAAATCTGCCATCTTCATATTCTTTCCTAGTGGTTATGTCTCTTCTCTATTTCCCTTTGCTTCTTTAGTTTCTTTTGTGTCAATTTTTCACTTGTTTCAGGTAAGGAAGTAACACTTCTCATTAATGCTTGGCATAGCTAGTTGGCTGTTTCATATATTGGTGTTCTATATAAGAATTCTTTCAAAGGGTTCATTGGGGTTCATCGGGGGGTGGGGGGGCTCTTTGGCTCAGCAGTTAAGATGCCCCAGGGGACCATGGCATCCCATAGCAGAGGGACACGTGGGTTTGAGTCCTGGCTCTGCTTCCAATTCCAGTTTCCTACTAATGTGCATCCTGAGGCAGCAGGTGATGGCCCAAGTACTTCGGTGCCTGCCACCCACATAGAAGACCTGGATGGAGTTTCTGGCTGCTGGCTCCAGCCTGGCCCAGCCCTGGCTGTTGTGGACATTCGGGGAGTGAACCAGGGGATGGAAGACCTTTCGTCTTTCTCTCTGCCTTTCAAATACATAAAAGTAAATTTATATATAAAAAAAGGTTCTGCTATGTTTAAAACAATAAAGCAGTCAAGGAATGAATATATAAATAGCACACTGATCCCCAAACATTAACTATGGCAGGTGTGATGGCAGAAGCTGGGACACAGCAGTGTTTTATTCCCGAGTCTGATTTCTCACATCTAAATTAGGGCAGGGTTTGCCAGGGACCACACAGGGGAATAGCGGCAGAGCCAGTACAGCCATCCCAGCGGCCTTGTGAGGATTCCGTGAGATGCTGCCAAGTGCTGACAGCAGTACTGCTGTACTCAGTACGTGCGCTGTCGAGGGCTGGATACAGAATGCAGGGGAGAGAGGAGGCCTCTCCCTTCATTTCCAGGTGGGCCCCAGATGCAAACAGAGCGAGCCTTGCAGGAACGAGGCAGGAGTTCTGAGACACAAGGCCAAGCTGGAGATGGAGGTGTGAGTGGTACAGGTGTGCACAAGACCAGCTACCTGCCCCGAGCTGGAGCTGGCAGGCAGAGCCTCCCCTATCAGTGAGGCCCTGCTCACACCGCAAACCTGGCACTTCACTTAAATCACTTGACTTAAACTCAGTGACGTTGAGCTTGGACTCGTCGCCTCAGAACTGTCAGAGAATCAATACCAGTAGTCCTGCTGACCCTTCTGTAATAAAAACATTTATTTTGAAAGGCAGAATTAGAGGAAGAGACAGAGTGGATGAGAATGTGCACTCTGATCCACTGGCTCATTCCACAAATGGCCACGCAGTCAGTGCTAGGCCGGGCTGAAACCAGGAGCCAGGAACTCCATCAGGGTCTCCCAGGTGGGTGACAGGGACCTAAGCAGCTTGGGCTTTCCCAGGCGCATTAGCAGGGAGCTGGATCAGAAGTGGAGCAGCCGGGGCTCAAACCTGTGCCCACACAGGATGCCAGCGCTGCAGGCATTACGTTAACCCACTGCAGAACGGTGTTGCCCCCCACACCCCCTCAACTGTTTTTTTTTTTTTTAATAGAGCCCCAAATGTAAGGTGGATCATTCTGAGGCTTTAAAATGCACTGTTCCACATTCACTACTTTAGATTTCATCTGATCAGAAATCCTGAAGCCAATGACTACAGTGTATAACTGCGCTTCTGCAGCAGGTGGCTCACGCAGTTGGATTCCTGCCATGCACTTGGGAGGCCTGGACTGAGCTGCTGGATCTTGGTTTCTGTTTTGTCCCAGCCCTGGCTGTTGCAGGCATTTGGGGAGTGAAACAGTAGATGGGAGATGTCTTGTCCCTGTCTCTCAGATAAACAAAAATTAAGAAATGCTAAGTAGGAGGACTTAATTTTCGTACCCGACTTTAATGTTTGCTGATCTAATTATGTGTTTGATTCAGTGCATATTCTAGAATGTGAGCTACAGCTACATGGAGGCATGGAACTGGACCACTGCTGTCAACAATGCCTGACTTAGTAATTCTTGGACCATATGTTGTCTATTCACCCTCTACTGTTATTTTCAAAACACAGCAGAATGCTTTGTTGAAGTAATTCTTAAAGAGAACAAAATATAAACAGGTAAGAACAGGTCTGCTCTGGGGTGTGTGTGTGTGTGTGTGTGTGTGTGTGTTTGGCACAGTGCTTGTTGCACTTGGGATGCCTGTATCTGGTACTTACTGGTTTGCTCCCTAGATGCCTACAACCACTAGCGCTGGGCCAGGCCAAGGCCAGGAGCCTGGAACTCAAGCCAAGTCTCCTGTGTAGGTGGTACAGTACCAAGTACTTGAGCCATCCCCTGCTGCCACCTCCCAGGGTCTGCATTAGCAGGAAGCTGGGTTGTAAGCAGAAGAGCTGGGACTTGAACCAGGCACTGCCTTGTGGGACGCAGGCTTCCCAAAGGGGCAAGGTAACTGCTGTGCCAAATACCTGCCCGATTCCGTTGTTCTGAAATACGCATCTTAGTACTTCCTCCACATGCGAAGCTGATGTGGCCAAGTACATGCCTGTCCCCAGTCGACCCCCTCACAGGACTCGAGCACTCTGCTGACAGGGTGTGGCTTAATGCGGATTCATTTGTTTCATCTGCCTCCATTCACCAGTCCACAGGCACGTGGGCAGACTCTGGGGACCCAGGCTTCGTTTTATCTGCTAGGCTTACTTCAAACATTTCAATCCTACTCCCAATTGTTGTTGAATACATTGAAACCAGCAATGTTCAGTTTCTAATTTTAGGCATGCTGATCCGCCACTGCAACTGAAAGGCAGCCTTTTGTATTTTTTCCCTTAAAGGCTGCGGAGCAGGATAAACACAAGTAGCCATCCACATCGGAAGACTTGTCTTAAAGCTGAGAGGGCGCTCCAACACTCGCCACCGACGGCTGTGTCACACAGGAACTGAGGACCGCGCCAGCACTCGGCCACCGACGGCTGTGTCACACAGGAACTGAGGACCGCGCCAGCACTCCACCACCGACGGCTGTGTCACACAGGAACTGAGGACCGCGCCAGCGCTCCACCACTGATGGCTGTGTTACACAGGTGCCACTCACCCCACCTTCTGATGTTCTCACCAGATCCCTGGCTTTGAACTTCTCATGGCTCTTAAGTTTCCATCTCCTGGTCAAGTGTCTCCTCCAAGCTCTTATTTTATAAGCAACTGCCTCTCTGTCTACCTTGATGTCTATCTCTGAACAGACCCACACCACACTTCCCATCCCCCCCCCCAAAAGCCCACTCCTCCCAGTGCTTCTGGCCTGGGGCCAGAAACCTTAATGTGACCCCCAGGCTTCCCTTTCCGTATACCCCACATCTGTGTTCATTCAGCAAGTTGTAGTGGGTTCCGTTCAGATACCAACAGGACCCAGGCGCTTCTCACACCACCCCTGTCCCTGTGCCCTTTGATTTGCATTAATGCAATTTGTTTCCTGGTGGACTCCCCTGTCTATTCTGAATACGAGGCCAGAGTGAGACTCCTCACCCTGTCACATCTCTGCGCTGAAGTTTTAGGTCACCCAACAGGACCTCCACGAGCCCCTCCCCACTACTGCCCCTCCCCCACTGCTCCAGCCGCAGCTGTTCCTTCAGTGCACTGGGCACCCTCCTACCTCCTGTGTGCGCTTGGTGCTACGTCTCTTGGCCTGCACTGCTTTTCTTCAAGTCTCTGATCAATGCGACCACCTTTTTAAGTTTTATTTATTTGAAAGATAGAGAGGAACAGACAGTGCGACCTTCCATCCACTGGTTCAGTCCCCAAATGCCTGCAACCACCAGGGCTCAGCCAGGCCGAAGTCAGGTCTCCCACGTTTGCAAGTACTCAAGCTGTCGGCTGCTGCCTTCCCAGGTGCATCAGCAGGCAACTGGACAGGAAGCCGAGTAACCAGGACTCGAACCCGGCTCTCTAAGGTTTGGTACGCAGCGCCCCAGGCTTAGCCCACTGTGCCCCTACACCTGCTTCATCTCGAAGTATTTTTCTGAAGCTGCAATGTGCAGCCCACCCCAGCTCTGCTGCTTCTCTTGCCTTGCTTTTCTAATTCTAATCGTAACACAGGGGGACATTGTTTCCCTCCCCGTGAGATTATAATTCCCCAAGAGCAGGGATTCTACCCGCTCCCTGCCACAAACAGTCCCAGACCTAGCAGTCACTTTCTCAAGAACTGCTGGATCTCTCCATTTCCCTCCCTGCCTACCCAGTGCCTTCACTCAAGGATCGTAGTTGAGATGACACAACAGGGTCTTGGGTTGAAAATAAAAGCAAAAGACCACTCGACGTTAGTTTGTCAACATGTAATGCCCTGGGTTTATTTTGTGAGAATTCTATCACAATTGTTCCAGGTGGGATTACAAACCTTAAGGATAACGTATGCCGTCGGCCCGGGCATTCAGACTGCGGTACTGAAAAGCACTGGTAGTAGTCTGTAAGTACCATTCTCTTCACGGAAGAGAGGGCGAGTATTTCCAAAGGAAGGCACCCGATAGTTGTGGTTCTGGCCTTGCAGCCTTCGGGAGAAATCGTAAAAGGAAAAAAGCTGGCTGGCTGTTTTGAGAAACTGGAATGATGATACACGGACAGCAATTTCTGCATTCTTCTCCCTTATATCCTTTTTTTGTAAGAACAAGTAAAGAATGAAGTCTTTAAACAATTCGACAATAAAAAAGTACAATTTTTTTGTGCTAAAAAAAGGGCAAGACAACATAAACTCCAGTTGTAAGGACTCCATTTGCATACTTGATTGAACACTTTTTGGCGTGGAAGGAAATGGGCTGTGTGCAGAGCAGCAACAGAACATTAGTGCCTGAAGTACCAGAAGCCGCCCCGCTCTGCAGGCGGGTGGGGATGGATGGAAGATTCAAGAGACTTCATTTTTAGCTCGTTACTTGTCCTAATGAGAGTAGACCAGGAAGATCCCCATCGAACAGTACATTCCCATTTTAAAAAAACTGATGCCTTTTTTTTTTTTGTAAAATTCTGTATGTATGTCACCATTTTTTTTTTTCACATGATACACAGAAAACTCAAGGACCCAGAGGGGAACCAAGTTATGTTATACCATTTACAAAATCCCAAGGAGCCCACAGCTACCTAACACATTTACTACAGCACAGGAACCAACGAAGGTACAGTGTACGAAAAACTGTAAACACGGCACAATAAATAGATAAAACAGCAGGTTCCGCACCATGCACGTGATGTGTGACACTTCATCTCTATACAATCTCACATCTCACACTCTTTGTTGCAATTTATTTCCCTCCCACCCCCCCCACCCCCAAGTGCAAAGCATCACAAATGAACATTTCTGTATTCAAGTAACATATATACAAGGGTATTACAAATATGCAGTACTGTACAGATAATTGCTGTATTCTTAATTTACAGATGTTGATTTTTTTCCTATTAACAGTAAGAAAAGAAAACTGAAGCATGAGAGATGAGCGTTGCTGTCAAGTCCTCACAGCTGCCACAGAAACGCATGTGCTGCATTCCATCATCCCCTGCATTCCAATGCTACTGATGCATAGCACCTAATCACGTCCCCAGGCGGGGTCCTGCTCCTGAGGAAGCTACGTCACCTCCATCGCGACTGTGTTGTCCGCTATGTTGTTCAGTGCTGGCTTTTCTGCTTCATGACTTTCCCTGTTGAAATAAAGTGTCATCAATTACTTCTCCGCAACATACAACTCGGTAAAGGAAGACAATCTTCTCAATAAAGACTGAATTTTTTTTTTTCAAGTTTCCTATCTTACAAATAAAGCATTCAATGTCTAAATCATATGTACTGAATAAAGGCCCAAGTTGCTTTTTGTTTGTTTTTGACAGGCAGAGTGGACAGAAAGACCTTTCTTTGCTGTTGGTTCACCCCCCAATGTCCGCTGCAGCCAGTGCACTGCGTTGATCCGAAGCCAGAAGCCAGGTGCTTCTGCTGGTCTCCCATGAGGTGCAGGGCCCAAGCACTTGGGCCATCCTCCACTGCACTCCCTGGCCACAGCAGAGAGCTGGCCTGGAAGAGGGGCAACCGGGACTAGAACCCGGTGTGCCGGCACCGCAGGTGGAGGATTAGCCTAGTGAGCCGCGGCGCCGGCCAAGACTGATTTTCTTTACCATGAAATCTGACAAGCTAGCAAAAAGGGGGTGTATATACATTATCATGACTATACAACGGTCAGGCTGATGTCAAGTATAAATTCCACCGCCAGTTATCCCAGCAACGAAACTGCAGCTGTGCCTGACCAACCTAGACATTAAGAACACAGACTGCCCAGGTTCCACTCCTCAGCTCTACTACCCCTTCCACGAGAGTCTGAAAGGCCCAGGGCAGGACTTTAAGGCAGGGGTCGAACGTGGACCTGAGTGGAGACATCTGAGCAAGCCCCCAGTCACGGGGTGGGCCCGGGGAGGGAGCAGCCGGACCCCACGAGTCCTCAGGAGTCCTCTGCCTTCTCTGCATCCAGAGCTTCCTGACAAAGGGATCTCTGCAAGTTTCACCTCCTGCAGCTGTTCCCTGGCTTGTACATTCTGCAGCACTAAAACTGAATGTATCGGAGCCGGAGCAGACGGACTGGCTATGCCCAGACTCCGAATACTAGGAACAAGGGCTGGTGCTGGGCAGACGACAGCTGCCACACTTAGCGTCAGCGGCTGACAGGGATATATGGGTTTAGAAACCAAACGCTGGGGGCTGGCGCTGTGGCGTAGCCGGTTCGAGTCCCAGCTGCTCCACTTCCGATCCAGCTCTCTGCTATGGCCTGGGAAAGCAGCAGATGACCCAAGTTCTTGGGCCCCTGCACCCACGTAGAGACCAGGAAGAAGCTCCTGGCTTCAGACTGGCACAGCTCTGGCCGCTGTGGCCAACTGAGGAGTGAATCAGTGGATGGAAGACCTCTGCTTCACTCTCTGTAACTTGACTTTCAAATAAATCTTAAAAAAGGCGACACTGTGTGCCATAAACTCTGGTCTGGCACTTGAGGTGCTCCACAACCTGGCCTTCCTCTGCCATTCTGATGTCAACTCCTAATTTTCCTAAACCTACAGAAAAGCCGGTTCACAAGCTGGCCTCATCACTTGTGTTTCCCCCCTCCTTCTCTACCTGCTTGAAATCTTTTCTTTGCCCAACCAAATCCTATCCTGGGTCAAATCAGGTCTCATTTGATAGAACATTTCCCAAATTCCCCTGGTGTGAAAATAATTCTTACATTGTTAGTGTATAGAAATTACAGCTATCATCTATATAATTACTCTGACAAGCACATAATGCTTTCTGAACCCCTAGAATGACTTTCACTTTATCTACAGTTAAGCTTAAAAATGTGAACTTCAATGTTATCTAAAAATAAAACACCTGCCCCCCCACCATGGTCTCTTGGAAACAGCAGGGTTTTAATTATTCATATTTAAAACATAAAAGAACCCCAGTAAAAATTCTAAATCTAGTGACACTAAAGACAACAAGATGGCACAGAATCTAATGGCCTGATTTAAAGTTGACGTGGCGTGGAGGGGGAGTTGGTGCAGGGTTACACTGCTGCTTGGGATGCCCATGTGCCCTATCGGAGTGCCCGAGTTCAAGTCTCCACTCTGCTCTGGATTCCAGCTTCCTGGTGATAAGCACCCTAGAGGCAGTTGAAGGCTCAAGCACCCTCTCTCCTACGTGGGAGACCCAGACTGAGCTCCTGGCGCCCCAGTTTGGCCTGACCTCCCCCCGCCAGGCTGCTACCTGCATTTAGGGTGAACTAGCAGATGGAAGATCTGTGTCCATCTGCCTTTCAAATAAACCAAAAACACATAAGTTTAATAAAGTTTCAAGCGCTGACCTGGCATGAATACCCTAAGTCTTTATTAAGAACAGTTTAGCACACTAGTGATCTAGTGACAGTGGAGTCTATCAGTTCTGTCTACAAAGGAAGCCGTGGATGAAACGATCCTAAAGAAACTCGTTTCATGCAAAGGTAGAAGACACATGGGAGCATTATCAGCTCCTGCAACGGTAACAGAGGGACGTCCAGACCGTATGCGGTCTTCTCTGAAACATTCGTGTTTCCACGTTGTACTGAACTGTGACATGCATTTGTATAGGAATGGAAAACATTTTCATAACTTTAATAAAAACTGACGAACAGAAAACAATGACAGAGGATTAAAGTCAGATCTCATTTTCCATGTTTTTTAAAAGATTTACTTGGAGAGAGCAAGAGAGACAGGTCTTCCACTTGCTGGTTGTTTTTTATTTATTTTTTTATTTTTTGACAGAGTGAGAGAGTCAGAGAGAAAGGTCCTCCTTTTCCGTTAGTTCACCCCCTAAAAGGCCTCCATGGCCGGTGCGTTGTGCCGATCTGAAGCCAGGAGCCAGGTGCTTCCCCCTGGTCTCCCATGCAAGGTGCAGGGCCCAAGGATCTAGGCCATCCTCCACTGCACTCCTGGGCCACAGCAGAGAGCTGGACAGGAAGAGGAGCAACCAGGACAGAATCTGGTGCCCAACCGGGACCAGAACCCGGTGTGCCGGTGCCGCAGGTGGAGGATTAGCCTAGTGAGCAGCAGCACCGGCCCCATTTGCTGTTTCACTCCCAAAATGCCCCTAATAAGCCAGCAATCTGGAACTCCATCTGGGTGTTCCACATGAGTAGCAGGGACCTGAGTCCTTGGGCCAGCATCTGCTGCCTTCCCAGGCACATAAGCAGGAAGCTGGATCTGAGGTGGAGCTCCTGGGACGAGAACCAGCTCTGACGTGGGATGCAGGTGTCCCAAGCAGTGGCTTAACCTGCTGGCCCACAGTGCCCACCCCTCATACCTCTCAAACACTTTAGCTTTAAAGTACCCACTCACCTTGGAACTGGATCTACAGAGGATGAAGACGGAACCTTGGAAACTTGACAGTTTGCTGCGGCAGCCAGCTTTAAGGCAGATGACGGAACAGCACTTAAAGTCCTAGGTATGTGTCGTGCGTTTATTGGGGCAATAGAGTTTACAGTGGCAACTGATGAAGGTACAGTTAATCGAATGTTGTTCCCAATCAGAACCTGAGTTGTCGCAGAATTGGCAGCAGTTACTTGATGACTCAGTGCACTGTGGGAACTTGAAGTCTGTGTACTATTGGAAGGCTGTAACAAGGTCGAGCCTGCTGTCGATGGACTGGTATGCACAAGTGCTGTTGGTGTCGTACTACTGAGGTGTAAGCCCTTGTATACTCCTGGAGAGAAAAAGAAAGCATCTAAGCCACATGCACGTTCGCTGTATTACAGATGCACGCTACAAACAGCACCAAGACCACTCGGACGTGCCCGTCCTACCTGAGGCTGGAAGGACGCCGTTCACCCCAATTCCGAGCACCACATCATCCTTCATCTTGAACCCCATCAGCTGTTCTGATGTCACCAAAGCAGAAGCAGCAAACTGAGCACTAGCAGAATCCAAAGTCTTGGAAACAAAACCCTGAACAGAGAACGTATGGGCGATCAATCAGCATCGCTTAGCCTCAGGCTGGCATTAACGACACGCAGGTGCAACACAGTCAGCTTGACTATAAATGAAAATGGCAAACCACTAAGATCTCTTCATCTCTTTTGATAGTGATACATTTCAGGAATGAAAAACTAATCTTTAACTCAAACGTTATTCAACAAATAATCTGTATACAACCATCACCAAATAAGCCTTTATAAGGGGAAATAGTAAAGCTCCATCACAAAATGCTGGACCAGAAATGTGCTAGTCAACTAGTTCAGAGCGTTGCAAATACATATAAAGGAGTGTGTCACTTCTTTCAACACACACACACACACCCAAAGGCACCTCTGGGAAGGTTAGATAAGCTAATGCACTGGATGGAGAAATTATGATTTGAACACAGTGTCTCCATCTCATTTCACTTCATGTTTTATTTTACTTTTACAAGTAGGGAGCAGAGGCGACAGCTTCCATACTCACCTCTGAAGTTCTTTCTAAACCCTGTATATTCAGGCGAAAGCCACTTTTCTGCTGGTTAGGTGCAAGGTTCTATGACAACAGTTGGTAACTAGAGGTGAACTCTGGTGGGCAACAATGAGGGCTAATCATCAGACAGACAAACCCCTCACCTGTGATGTGTTGGTGGAGGAATTACTATTTGCTTGCTGTTGCTGAATCTGTGCAAGCTGCTGTTTCTGCATTAGTGCCAGTTGCTGTTGATGTTGCTGGTATTGTTCGGCTGTAAATGCTGAACATAAAATGAGGAAACGTTTTATACAAATGCACAAATATCATACACCTCTTATGATACCAAAACAAAGGCAGCATTAACATTTTTTGTGTGTGCAAAATTAAAGCCTCTGACAAAGGTTCATCATCCTGCTAATGATCACTGCCCAAATGAAAATGCCAGCACTTCTGCTACCACATTTAACACGAGTGGCTTGACTTTATAGAAAATTAGACTCTCTTAAACACAGGAAAGAGAACTGCTCACTTCCCAAGTATTGACACCATTAGTTTTGCAAAGCTGTGACACTTGTACTGGACAATGTAGAAGGTAATATCAGCTTTTTAATCCACAGATTTGGAATTCAACTTTGCACTGAGCTTGAAGAAATCTGTTAATTGCCAGCTGGTTTCCATTTTATCCATATTACCTTCTCAATTCATTCAGGTGGGCCCTAACAGTTTTGTGTATAAACACTAACTGTTCTACTTATTTTCTCATTTTAGTCATTTACAAAAATTTCCTCTATATGAAAGATAAGGTTGTTGGTTTATTACTTTCTTTTTAAAGAATTCATCCTTTAAGTTTAGCAGGAAGAAAAGAGGTTCCAATGTTAAGTTTAATTAATTTTCCCCACCCAATTAACCCACCTGGAAAAAATCCAGTCAATAAGAACGGAGTTGTTTATGTTGATTTACTGTACAGAATGATGTCTGAGGAAAGACACTGTGTTATGCTACTTATGTTTGTCTATGGAGAGCTCAGTTCTAAAAAAAACAAACAAAAAAATGTTCATTTATTACCCCCCAAAAAAGTGTGTGCAGTTTTTAAAAAGGAAACCTTTTTCTTTTCTTTTTTGCCAATTAAAAAAAAAAGGAAAAAAAAAAAGCACATACAATCACAATACAAATGGATTAGGAAGGCTTCTTTAAGAAGCCTATGATGTTTGAATAAGAATTATTTTAAACCAAAAAAGTTTATCATGCATCCCTGGATCCCAGGGAATCTATAATCATGCAAATTTCCTCAATCTAAAGTTTAGGTTTTCAAAATACTGTCAGCTAGTTTATTGCTATTGCTTACTGCTTAGTTATTAAGAGTATCACGTCATCAAGCTATGTGATTTGCATTTGTTAACTCACCAAAGAAATCTTTCACTGTCCCTCAGAACGCCTTTTCTTGATATAACTAGCAAATTTTTGCTACAAATTCCACCATGGTCTGAATGCATCAAAAAATCATTAATATTCAAGAAAAACTCTTAAGTTCTTAGTGCCTGCACAGATTCCTATACTTGAGCTAAACTAAGTTCTAGGGCTGCAAGGGCAAAAAAGCAACTTATTAGAAAGCCTTTACTGCTGGTTTTCTTGTTGTGTGTGTGTGTGTGTGTGTGTGTGTGTGTGTGTGTGTTACGAATGTATTTAGCTGGTGTCTGGCCTTTGATAAATTCCTTTTCCTACTTTGTTTGCAATTCACAGATGTGAGATTCACAGAGAAGAGTTTTATTCATATGATGATTCCTAAATATTGATATAAAAGTAGCTGTCTAGCCACATAACCATTTCCATATAGCAGAAATGTGTTATATCAAAGCTTGAAAATCCACAAGAATTAATGCTGTCCTGAATGTTCGTAACTAATAGTTACCCCTATATTTTAAAAAAGCCAACTCTTTAAACCTGAAGATCCTTATTTCATTAGATACTTCTGCCAATCTATTTCTGATGTAGACTTTTTCATTTCCTAATTTTGAGTCTGTTGCCTCACACTTGATTTTCTAATAGCAAGTTTTAAAAAATGGATCATTTTTGGAAGGTTGGGTCATCACGTATTTAGAAAGCTAGTACATTTACATTCATTGACAAGCTTTTATAGAAAACTTTTTATAATGAAAGCACTTTTTGTTGTTGAACTCTGCTGGTGCTGTGCTTTAATTAAAAAGTCAGTGATAACTGGAAGCCAATATGAATAAAGTTCCAAATATTTTTGCCCTCTTGAAATCAACATCTTGATCTGGGTCTCTGAGGGTGTTGTGAATTTCACTTTTTGAAAACTGTTAACATTTTATATCACTATGTTAGCTTACTTCTTAGATAGCAAAGTCGGCCTATTTCTTAGATATTGTTTTGCTCCTCCTGGAGTCCAAGAAGGAAACTGGTGAAGGATCCAGGAGAAACGTGCGGAGCAACGCATAAATGGCAGTGATGGTGATGAACACCCCGGGCCCAGGGGCCTCGAGCCCTGGACTGCTTTTGTTTTCAGCTCTACCGTTAGCTAGATGAGCATTCTTGGGCACGCTGTTTAACCTTTTGGGATGTAGTATCTTCATCTAAAATGCTCGAGAAACTATTGAGGTCCTTTTCAGCTATGAGCTGCTAAGATACTACATCTAGAACTAAAGTTTTCACCCAAAAGAAGGCTGTGTGAATGAATACGAAAGCTTTGACAGAGGTGAGGCAGTAACTTTGGGCAAATGTAATCTAACCTGGCGTTCATACTATTCACAGAAAACCAAGCAGCTCTCAGATCAAGACACGATTATGACTCAAAGCCTCACCACATGCTAAATGAAAGTAAGACAAATTGACCAATCTTCTCTGTCAACGACATGAGATACCAAGGTGTAGTTTTTAGGTTCTATGTCTAACTCCGGATATGGAATGCTGGCCAAGTTTGTAATTCACACGAAGATGACCAATATGGTTACTGTGGATGGGTGATCTGCTCCCAGAGTCAGAACTGTTTCACAGAACCCAAAAACAAGAGGTCAGGAAGGACTCCTGGTGATTTCCTTCTACAATCTCACAGTAGAGATGAAAAACTTCCACGTGGGGAAACACAGATATTAAGTAGCAGAAGGAAAAACCCAAATCAATGAGACTAAGAAATAGATAAAATAGACAAAACTTGTTTTCAATTTAATATTACCCATAATCGAACCTTGTATGGACCAGCACTATGAGCTGAGAAACAAGAGTCAAGGTATGGGAGCAGAGTCAGGTGCAGGATGCAATTTAAGCCTGAGAATGTCTCACTGGGATGTGAACGAAGCAGCAAGCAGGACAGGACTTCAAACACGCCAAGGGCAGCATGATGCTGGACAGCAGGAACCTCTAGGTTTCAATTTAAGAAGGCAGCTTCTGCCTAAATATATGCACAAACTTTCTAACCGAGATCACCAAATGTAGAATAACCTGATCTAGAAGTTGTTCAATTTGCCCTCTTTAGCACCGTTTATGTAGAATTTTTTGGTTGCTTCTCACTACCCAGTTCTCTGGAAGTAGGAATTCAGGTGAAATAACATAAGAGTGTTTCTTATACAGCAAGCCATGGCATGACACCAGCGCCAGGAATAACCCACACTTCAGCTGCTGGCCTGAAGTTATACACGATGGCAGCTGGAACAGATCACCTGCAATATTCAGAGTGGGAGTGGGGCAGGTGACAGGAGCTTGAGTACAAAATATATCATCTGAAACTTAGCTAGGGAAAATGGGGTTTCGAGTACCCAATGTTTAATTTGTTAAAAACAAAAATATAAAACCCCAAATACTTATTTTAAAAGAAACCCCTGAATTAGAAATTTCTCGGAGTAGTACACAGGTAGAACTTTGATTCTGATATAGGGAAATGTAGGAGGGACAGGTAGGTATAAAAAGAAATAAATACAAAGTGAAATGACTCTTCAGGTAGCTACTGAAGCTGACAATTCATGAGCCCTTACCAGCCACCAGAAATCCAATCTGAAAACCAACATTCATGTAATTCATCTGGTGGCAAACTATGACCGGAACTGAACTCCACCTGGCTGTGAATGACTTGATCATGAAATTCCGTGTAGTCAAATACTCCTTCTAGTGTGAATATTCTCGCACTACACAGCACAACTGAGAACTATTGTGTATTTCACTACAAGGCCTATCCACATTCTACCGATGTTATGTGGTAAATCACTTTGTGCAGTATCAAAGATTCCACAATTTTGAAATGTATCTGAATAAAGATTAAGGTCCTTTAGATTTATAAAACCTAGCAATTAAAATGTCCAGTGTTTAAGTCTACAGTTCCTTTTTCACTATAAGATTAAAACCTTGTTACAAACTACAGTAAGTTGCACTAAGTTATAGATATTGAGACTTAGAATATAACATTTTAGCCACATTATCTTCTATCTACTAGTGAGAACAAACCAAATCTTTAGTGCAGGTATGTGAGCTTAGAAAAATGATTTATAATGATGGCAAAATTTCATTGGGAACAAGGAATTCAAATCTCAAAATAGCACTATAATTTAAAAAAAATAATTACTGTTTTCAGTCTTTCTTGCATTATATAAGGACAAACATTAAATTTTCAAAAGTGCTTTTGTAGATTAAAAAAAAAAAAAAAACCAAATTGGGTCAGGGGGAGCATTTGGTAAAGCAGCTAATACACCACTTTGGACTCCTGAATCCCATATCAGAGGCCTGGGGTCGAGTGCTGGCTCTGCTTCTGATTCCAGCTTCCTGTGGATATACACCCTGGGAGGCAGAAGGTGATGGCTCAAGTGGTTGGGTCTCTGCCACCCATAAGGGAGACCTGAACTGAGTTTTAGGCTCCTGGCTTTGGTATGGCCCATCCTGGCTACTGCAGGCACTTGGGGAGTGAACCAGCCTCTCTTTCAAACAATTTATAAAACTGTATTTGCAAATTATCTAAATCATGTATTAACTGAAAAGTATTAAAAATAAACAATTTATCCTTAAGTATAGGAACGTAGTCCTAAAAATTCTAAAATACACCTACAGTGAGTCTCCCCAAGTTCTTGCTATGCACTATGCAGTATTCATCAGGCATCAACAACTGACTACACAGGCTACCCTCCTGTTATACAACTACGCAGAATGGCCAAGTAAGGAAAAAGGATTCTGGGTAGTGGAAAAAGCTGTACAAGTGGGTACGTTAAAGCTCATGCATTTCAGCAAAATGAATGGGCTCCTTACCTCTTCATTTAGAATTTCCTATGTAAAATAAGAGTAAAAAGCCTTTCTAGATTATTTGGACAAGAGACATGAGCCCAGAGGGCATCACTGTGTCAGCATACATATAAGTATTAATATTTACAGCAACAATAAAAAATGGCTAATTTACAGCCCGCATCTCTGGCTTAAGCGGCAGGGAGGGCTACCAACTGACTCTCCTGGGACAGTTAAGTTCGAAAGTCAGTCTAGTCAAAAGTCAGCCTCGAGAATTCCTCTGGAGAGTGCCCTGATGGGGACTCTTGCGGAACACAGCTAGTTTCCTCTGGTGTTAGACTGAATCAGAGTCTCTCTGGTGTTGGACTGAATCAGAGTCTCTCTGAATCAACTAAGTGCTAGATGAAGTGGTTAGCTTTGTACCGGGGGCGGGGGGGACACGACGACATTCTGTATGTAAAACTTGTCCTTAGAGCTACAATTACGCTAAGTGAGATGTTTTAGCCCAAGAAGGCAATGACAAGGTGGGCAGGAAACGTGTAGGAGAAACAAAGGATTTGCATCTCTCATTCCAGCTTCACCTTGCAGAAGACTTTTTCTTAGAACTGTATTTAAAATCCTGTATTATGATTCAACTACCAAATATTCTTTGCCCCTCCAGGGGCCTATACTTAAATTCACTTAACTGAAATCCATATATGACAGAAACGCACTCTAATATATTTGACAGAGCAAAAAGAGAAAAGCTTTCAGTCACCAGAACATTTACAAATATGAAAGAATAAATAGTGTTATCCCATAGTAGTCTGGAGGCATCTAGTCTCTAAATACATGGGAACTCCAGCAATTTTCAGAAGGAATTGAGAACAATCAATACCACAGAAAAAAATAGGTAAGCTCATTAAAAAAAAAAAAGTTATATATGTAGGGAGAAGGAAATGATTAAAAAGAGAGATTAGATTTTTTTCCAGCTAAACTTGTGGTATGTTCAGCAATGTTCACCTTTTAAAGTTCTTTGGCAAACACAAATTAAGAAAGTTTTGTAACTGATATTGATATGCCTTTTATGTGAAACAGAAAACTTATTTATATAATAACAGTGAGCTTTATAAAATTATTAAGACAGCTATAAACTTCAATTTCTCTAAGGGATGGGAAAGATGGGGATTGATGGAACATGTCTATCTTCTCTAAGAGGTCTCAATTTCATAAAGCTTCAGAAGCTTTAAATATTGGGGAAACTACTGCAAGTTTATACTTTTAAACTGTTCACACCACATATACATCTTCCTTCATTGTGAAGTTCTTCATTTTGATTTTTAAGATAATAAACCAGAGAGTAATTGGCTTTTGGTGATAAAAATATTAGGAATTAATGAAATTTATAAATAACCAGTTAGATTTCCAAGAAACTTTATCTTCCAGTTGATCTACAATGTGATTACTTTTCTCATGAACACAAAGATTTCCATTTCACAGAAGTCCTTTTTGTAACCACCAACAAATTACTATATGAACACTTTCTGGAGGTCTTCAAGAGAAAGAGGCACATTTTCCTATGCATGAGGCAACTGAACCATTACCCCACCAGGTACTGATTAGGGAAACAAGCAATCTTTACAGTCCTTTCAACATCAATATTTAAATTACCTCGAAAAAAATGTAGTAGCATAATTTTAACAGTGAAAGTCTCTAACTTATAGGCTTCAAATGACACGGACTTGTGCTTTAAAATAGAAAGCTACAATTATAGGAATATTTTAAGTAGATAGCATTTATTGTAATAGCCTTATTTCACAATGTATAATAATAAAGTCGACATAGTCTAAAGATGTTTTCAAAAATGTTAAAGTAAACTTTAGCTTAGATTTTCTTCTTTGCAAAGTTAGTTTCTCTCTTAATACATTGTTCTGAATTGTTTTATCAGCACAGATGCTTAAGCACGCCTACTGACTTGCTGGAATCCATGCTTAGGTAAAAGACGAAAGAAGTATCCAAGCATGAAACTCTTTAACGATTTCAGGTCTGTTTTCCTTTCATATTATTTGAAAATGTAATCAATGATTCTTGTGGTTCAATGACTGCATCCAGCAATCAAATGTCACCCATTAAACAGCAACACATCGCCTTTGCATGTGGGTGTTATTTGAATAAAGACACATACATACAAACTCCTACAGCAACAAAATTCAAATACTTAAACCAAGACCTTTTTTATTTTATTAACTGTTTTGAGAAAAAAAAGATTTTCAGCTACATATGTAATAAATCACACACTCAAAAAACTGGAGGAACCTTACATTTTTATAGAAATGTACATCATAGCAAATAAACATACCGAAGTGTGCTGAGCCACTGCTACTTTTACTTTGCGTGGAGGTACTGCATGTCTGGGTCCCAGGTTGTGCTGTTCCTGTTCGATACATACTCCTATACAACTTTCTACAGGAGAGTTCATCATTGTCACCGTCATGTAGGGATGGTGTCCGAGGCCTAAAATGCCGCCATCTACATGATTTGATATTGACTAGTATCTGACTGAGGTCTTTAGAGAAAGATTTGTCCGAGGTATTTGTTTCTGAGGTATTGGCAAACTGATTGACTGGAGAATGTTGTGGTGAGGAAAGCATTTCCAAATCCAGGTGGCGAAACATACTGTCGTAGTCTGAATGAGCTCTGTCCAGTAAGACCCTATTAAAAACACGGTGGAAATAGATATATATCAGCAGCTCCTCAAGGACTATTTAGGAAAGCTTTTCCTTTCTCCCCCCAACCCCAACTTCCTAACTCCTATTGGATATTCAAAAGCTATAAAGTTGATTATTTCAGTATTTGATTATTACAGGCTCAAAAACACACTTTACAAAATCTTGCTAACATATCTGTCTGTATTTAAGCAAAAACATCATTCTTTGGGGGAAGAGAAAAGCAGTTAAAAGACATGTGATATTTGGTACTACTAAAATTTCTTCTAGACAAAATATGACAATCCCCTACTTTAGGGGGGATATATTATTATTGATATAAACTTCTAACCCATTTTTATTTATTTCAAAGGCAGAGCGAGCACATGCGCTTTCGGCCTCTGGTGCATTCCTCAAATGCCTGCTACGGTAGGGGCTGGACCAGAAACTGTATCCAGGTCTCCCATATGGGTGGCACTGGCGCCAACATCTGTTGCCTCCCAGGATGCACAATAACAGGAAGCAGGATCAGAGGCAGAGGTGAGACTCAAACCCCAGGCAGTCTGATAAGGGATGCAGGCATCCCAAGTGGTGACTTAACCCACTGCATCACAATGCCAGCCACAATCTAAATTTCATAAATGACTCCATCTCAAAATGAGAATACTGATTAATGCTAGCAACAGAAGAAAATACAGCCACCACAGAGAATTTTCACTACCACCAATGTCACAGAAACAGAAACAAAGTACTACAAAGTGGCAAAATATTTCAACAAATAAATTAAGAACAGCAAAGAGAAATATCTAAAATATCCCTCTGCTAGGAACACAGAGCACCCTACCTTCCACCGCGCCCAACCCGTCTTCGTGCAAATCCAATACACCTCTGGGGTACGGTGAGAGTAGTTAAGCAGTATCTGTATCGCACATCCCCTAATCCTCCATCTTTAGGACTAGTCCAAGGCCAGTTCCCAGTTTGGTCTAAGTGAGGCTAAAAAAAAAATCCACATTATTTTATTTTGTCAGTTAGAGGGAAACAGTTAGATATTTGCAAGGAGGAAACAACACTTACAGCATAGTACTGACAGCCTGCTTTCCTACGGAAAGCAAAGGGACCATCGGGATCATTCTCTTCCTCAGCTTCCGAAGAGCCGGACAAAACCTTTGAGCACACAAAAGAAGTAGGTCAAACGTGTGACTTCCTACATTCTTCCTCTATTTTTATAGAGACACTCTTTTCTCAAAAATTTTTACTTATTTGTTGATTTGAAAGGCACACACACAGAGTATCTTCCACCCCAGTTACTGTCCAAATGCCAGCAACAGCAGGGCTGGACCAGGCTGAAGCCAGGAGCCTGGTTAACCTAGGTCTTCCATGTGGATTGCAGGGACACAACTACTTGAGCTATTCTCTGCTGCCTCTTAAGGTCCGCATTAGCGGGAAACTGGATCACAGCAGAGCAGGTACATGGATGGGGGATGTGGGCACCCCCTAACCCACTACACAATGCCCACCCTGAGAAGGTCTTGTATTTACCTGGGAGAGAGGTTCTTCATCTGAGCTGGGAAAGTCATACTGATTTAAATCTTTAGCATTAAAGACTGGCAGTGCAGCAGGACTCGTCTGTTGAGGAGTAGCAGCAGCAGACGACGGTAAGACTTTGGGCTTCTTTTCGTATTTCCGTTTCGGTCGGATAAGATCGGCTTTATCTTGCTACAACAAGGACACGAAAGTGATTAAAGACACTAGAAACCATGTTCAACAAACCTGCTGCTCTTTGGGAAATTTTAAAAAGCAGCTTATTTGTATAATGAAGACAGTTCTATTCAAAGGAGACATAGACTTTTACTTCTGGCCATCTAAACATAGTCCTATAAATTATTTTGATTCCATTAAAGTAAGATGAGAACAGAAGTTCTCCAGCTCCTACAATCAACATTTATAACATTTATACTGTGAAAATTATAGGAGAAAATAGTAATAAAACATCTAGTCCTTACTTCTCAACACTTAATCTCAAGAAATAACAAATTAGTGCAGGGAAAATCATAATGAAAACAATGTGACACACAAAGTGGTGAACTGTACATGACTGTTAATACGGTGTGCAGAGTAAAGCCGTTGAACACCGAGGGGCCATAAAAACAAAAAAGAAGGATTTGCTAACCGAACAAAGGCGGCTTTGTGGAGTGGTGAATTTTGAGCAATTTTTGAGGATAAAGATATAAAATTATTATACTGGGAGAAAAGCAGGACAAAGAATAGGTGAGTTATGAAGTCAGCTCACAGGAGAAATGCATGTGGCAGACAATGCTAAGTTAGAAGTATGGATCTCATGTGTGGACAACAGGTAGTGAGTGTAGATGCAAAATGGTATTTACTGGGGAGAAAAAGATAATGGCAAATAGCACAGGTAAGAAACTGTGCAAAATATTTGTGTTAAGTTTTACGGAATTTAAAAGTTTGATCTTACTTAATCTGGGATGCAATTACTTAAACTACTATAAAAACTACCAAGAAAACCAAAACAGCTTCAATTAATGATTCTATCTTAATCTGGAAGAATTTAAACTAATACATGTTCAAGGGCTCGGGCCCAGCTTTCTCACATATTCAGAAAGGATAGAATCGCATAGTTAGGAGTACAGTCATGAAATCTAAACCCTGAAGGACAACACAGAAATAGCGTGCAAAGTTACACAAGATTCAGACTGGGGGACCAGACTTAAAATACTACACTAGTGTTTAAAAAGTGTATTTAGGAGTAGTAAATTGAAAAGGCAGGCAGAAAAAAATCTGATCAATACAGCATTTCAATGTGTCCATGGGGGATAAATTTAAATGCGTATGAAAAAACAGATTTTTCTCCCTCAGACGCACATTTTCCCAAGAAGGTACCACTTAATTGCCTTTCTTAATTTCCCTCCACTAATTTTATTTCTCCTCATCAATTTTATTCTTTACATACTGCCAAGTATTTGGTTAAGTATTAATGTGTCACATATTTCCATTTCTAATCCATTATCTCTGTTACACATTTAAAGAGATACCTGAATTCCTTCTTCTATCTTGCCTTCCACTTACACACTGATGTATCTCACACACAAAAGAACATCACAAACTCATCCTATCAGCAAGGATTTCCTGTCCTTCTCTCTAAACTTCTATATTTTGTTTGAATTATTTTAATATTTCATAATCCTATAGTTAGTAAAATACTTCTCTTATCAACTATAGTAACAAAGTCATCCTTTTATATAAGATAAGGAAATAACAAAAACAAAAATTTATTTTAAACTTTCAGTTTCTTTTCATAATATGCCATAATCATTAAGGTTCTACTTCATGGTATGGCTTATGTATTTTTCTCCTTTATTTTCCTACTACTAATAAAATCCCATCCCACTGTCAGATACTATCATCACAAAAACATTATTCACCTTATTAACTTTAAACTCTTTCACATCCATTACTTCCTGGTGTTTAAACTGACTGCTGTTGGTAATAGGGATGATAGGGATGGCATAAGTGGGTTTCAGTGGCTGTCTCTGTGCCATAACCTCAGACATGATCTCACCGTTGTAGTCACCCAAATTATACCTGAAATTATAAAAAAGAAAACTCAAAACTGTATAATACATTCAAGGGGCACAAAGTGATGGTTTGATAAAACATGGATTATAAAATGATTACTGCAATCAAGCTAATTAACATATTCATCACCTCAGTTACTTGAGGGGGTATTACATAAAATCTACTCTTAGCAAATTTCAAGTATGCAGGATATTATAATTAACCATACTGCACATCTGGTCTCCAGACCTTGTTCAGTTTATAACTTCAAATCTGTATACTCCAATTAATGAACGATGCATAACTGTTGTCAATTATACCTAAATAAAGTTAGGGAAAAGGCTAAAAACTGACTTCTGTAAGTTCTTATCCCATACCTGACTGGGATATACTTATAAACATCAATTAGACTTAAAGTAGCATTATAGTTAAACTATTTGCTGGATATCTCTTAAAATGAAAGATTGCTAATTCCTTTTGTTTCTTCTTTCTATATTTTTGGCTTGCTAGCTTGACCTCTGCACGTAATAGATGACTGTGGGAAAAAAACAAAGGTTGGAATGTTAACAACAGCAATTCTGGTGACAGATTTGGTGGAAAAGCTGAAATTATTGCCTAATGGTGCTGAGGAACTTTCTGCTTATTAGAATTGCCTCTACAATGAAACTCATTTTTCAGAAAGGAAGCACAAAAAGTTACTTTCTTTGAAGAGGCACTGAAAATAAAGCAGTGAGGCTTGACGTTTCCACCATCTATCGTGCAGCATGGTTATTTGAATAACATTTATGGGTTCTTTTCCTTCTCTTTAAGTCTAGTACTGGGTTGTGGGTGCCAGAATTCAATTTCAGCTCCTGACTCCAGTTCTCACCAAAGTAGACCCTGGGAGAAAGTGGCAATGGCTCAAATAATTGGGTTTCTCCTACCCATGTGAGACCTGGGTCGAGGTCCCAGTTCCAGGCTTTGGCTTAGGGCCTTGGCACTTCAGATATTTGGGAAATGAACCAAGGGATAGGAGCCCTGTCAAGTTAAAATATTTTTAAAAAATAATCCAACAAAGGGCTGGCACTGCGGCTCAGTGGGTTAAGCTGCTGTGTATAGTGCCAGCATCCCATATAGGCACTGGTTTGAGACCTGGCTGTTCCACTTCAGATCCAGCACCCTGCTAATATGCCTGGGAAAGCAGTGGAGGATGGCCCAAGGACCTGGGCCCCTGTACCCATGTGGGAGACCCAGAAGAATCTTCTGGTTTCAGCCTGGCCATTGTAGTCATTTGGGGAGTGAACCAGTGGGTGGAAGATCTTTTTCTCTACCCCTCCTCTCTGTCTAACTCTGCCTTTCAATTAAATAAATAAATCTTACAAAAAAAAAAAAAAAAAAAAAACCACACACAAAAAACCTGAGTACTTTGTGTACATATATTTAAAAAGAATCACTTCTATGAAGTTAACAAAAAGTTTAGAATGACAAGCACAGCACTGCACACAACTCCAACAAAGTATAATATCACAATCACAAATCTAAGTAGTCCTATTTATTATTTAAAGTGCTATTTTTAATTACAGGAGATTGCTTTAGGAAATAAAGTAATTCAATACATAAAATGTTAATGGTACCATACTTCCTAATGCTACTGAAATATAGTTTACCTCTTTTCCATAATTTCCAGTGTTAAGTGCAATAGCTCCCTTTTACTCTTTTCTCTTCTTTTTATCATCTCTAGAATAGTAACAGCCCGGCTTAGATCTCGACGCAGCTTAAGCATTTTTTCATAAGAAGCTTCATCATTTTTGCGATTCTGCAAACAGAAAGTTGCTTGCTTAATGTCAATAAACGTTTCCAACTACTGATGTCATGGTTACAGTTATTAATATATAAGATTATATAGATTTATGTATAATTAGTTGAGGTTTAAAGACACGGGTAGGGAACATGGATCACTAAGAAATTAATTGTGAACATGATTTTTAACTGGGTTAACAAATCTTCAGGGCCAATTTACATTACTATTTTTCATACTCATGTAGTAAATGATATTTGAACACAAATTAAATCACAGCATTACAATGTTAAGACATTCTTGACTATAAAAATAACGTTTCTCATACAAAAGAATTTTTAAAAATTGCCAAATTCACTTACTTTTCGAGTCTGCATTTTTTCAGTACGTCTTCTAAAAGCCACATAAGGATCATTTGTGCTGGAACCATCGCGCTTCTCTTGTTTTACTGATGGGATAAGTGATGGCCCCCGACAGTTTTTTCTCTTTTTAATCCAGTATTCATAAACTTCTCTAATTAACTCATCATCTTCTTTTAGCAGTAGTTTGGCTTCCTGCAGACTGACTGGCTAAATGTAAAATCATTATGTCATTTTCATATAATATACATAGAAGGTTCAAAACCATTTATTTCCAAATTAAATGACAATAATCAAACATACAACAGTATTAACATACAGCAAACTTAGGTACTGAGTACCTTACACATGCTAGTCCTTGACTATGTGATTTATATATAGTATTGACCTTGAGTTTCACAAAAATTGTACAATGTTTATAATCTCCATTTTACAGGTGGGACAAGTGAGGCACAGAGAAATTTAAATATCTTGTCCAAGGTTACAGAGGCTAACAACAGACTGAGATGTGAATTCATGCTTTGTAATGTCACAGCCTGCTCCCCGTGCCCTATACGCTGCCTCCCTACAATACAGATACATTTATAGACCATTAGCACACTTATGGAGAATGAAGTCGTACCTGCTGCCCACTGCCTTTTTCCAGGCGGTCAATCATCTCTTCGAATTGCAATGGACAGATGTCCATTTTCTTTTTCAGTTTGTTCACAAATACTTCATCTTCGGAATCCAAATCATAATCAGGCTGCTCAGCATCCAAACTAAAAGCTGACAGAAGAAACCACATGCAATCACTTAACTGTGTGAACTTACCAACAAAACGCATTTGCAGATGTCTAGATAAAAGCAAGATTTAGATTTTCTAAAGAAATAAAGATCTTTTTCAAATTTGTTTTCAGCCATAAACAATCAAAGCTTACAGATACTTCTTCCGTATTTAAAGTTAAAGAAAGCAGATTATCTTTACTATGAATACAAATGAGAAAAGACAGCTTGAAAAAACAAACTAGATGTCCATTATAAGGAACACAGAGAGATTATTAAATGTAGTGAGTTGAATCACATCAAATTGCCATTTTTTTGTAGCTTAAAACCCATCACACATTAGCAATGTCAAATGGATGAACACAATATGAGGGGCCTCCAAAAACTTGGTGGAAAATGCATATTATAAAAAATCTAGGTATGGGCTGGCGTCGCAGCTCAATAGGCTAATCCTCCGCCTTGCGGCGCCGGCACACCGGGTTCTAGTCCCAGTTGGGGCGCCGGATTCTGTCCCGGTTGCTCCTCTTCCAGGCCAGCTCTCTGCTGTGGCCCGGGAAGGCAGTGGAGGATGGCCCAAGTGCTTGGGCCCTGCACCCCATGGGAGATCAGGAGAAGCACCTGGCTCCTGCCTTCGGATCAGCATGGTGCGCTGGCCGCAGCACGCCAGCCGTGGCGGCCACTGGAGGGTGAACCAATGGCTGAAGGAAGACCTTTCTCTCTGTCTCTCTCTTTCACTATCCACTCTGTCAAAAAACAAAAACAAAACAAAACAAAAAAAGAAACAAAAAAACTATGTATGGATTTCAGAACATTTTTGCACCAAAAATAAACATTTTAATTCTATTTTTTGAAGTATCATTTATTTATCTAAAAGGCAGAGTTACAGGAAGGGAGAGGGAGGGGGAGAATGGGAGAGGGGAAGGGAGAAAGGGAGAGGAGATGAGGGAGAGGTAGAAGGGGAAGAGGGAGGGATGGATGGGGAGGGGGGGAGAGAGAGAATGAGTCTTCCACCCACTGGTTCACTCCCAAATGGCCACAATGGCCAGGGCTAGGCCAGGCCGGAACCAGGAGCCAGGAGATTCATCCAGGTCTCCCACATGGGTGCAGGGACCTAAGTTTTTGGGCCATCTTTTGCAGCTTTCCTGTGTGCATTAGCATGCATTAGCAGGGAGCTTATTTGGAAAAAGAGCAGCTGGGAGTCGAACCAACGTCCATGTGGGATGCCTGCACTGCAGGCAGTGGCTTTGCCCACTACACCACAGCAGTGGCCCCAAGTAAGATTTTTTACTAAAATATTAAAGTATTATTTTACAGATTATTTAATCATTTTCCCAAAAGCTTAGGGAGTGGTGGTTTAAAGCTCAAGTGTTGAAGGTCACTACCAGTAACAGTGACAGCTACATTCCTGCTGTGAGGTTTACTTCTGACATCTGTTGCCAAGAACCACTACACTCTTATTACCAATGTCATTCAATAACATCAAAATAAAGTGAGGCTGACATTAATATGATAAGCAAAATGTTAAACAGCTGAATTTCAAAACACTTCATCTGTCCCTTGTACCTATGAGTATAGCTCTTTCCTGACTGCCCACTCACTAGGCAGCAGCTGCTGAACTTTTTCAACCCCAGCCTGACAGCACTCCTGGAGCTTTCCTGACTGCCCCCACATCAGTGAGTGTTCCTAACCACATTTCCTTCCACTGAGACCAGGAACCCTCTCCTCAGAAAAATAGACTGTGCAAACACACACTTTTGCATAAATGATCACAGGCGATTCAGACATGATCACTCCAAGTTTAGGGCCTGCAGTTTAAAAACTCCCACTCTAGACCACTCCCTTTCTTTTGTGCCAGTTTGTGCACCTATTTCATGATCCACCTGCCAAACACCCCCACCCTTAGAATGTCAATGACTTCCCTCAGGGGAGGCACAGCTTCCTGTCTCTGCACCTCCAAAAGGAAAGAGTGACATTTTCATCTGTGTGCCATTCTGCTAGTGACACGAGTGAAAAAGCAGTGTTGGGGACCGGTGCTGTGGCATAGTGGGTAAAACTGCCGTCTGCAACGCCAACATCCCATATGGGCGCCGGTCCGAGTCCTGGCTACTCCACTTCTGATTCAGCTCTCTGCTATGGCCTGGGAAAGCAGTTGAAGATGACCCAAGTCCTTGGACCCCTGCACCCACGTGGGAGACCTGGAAGAAGCTCCTGGTTCCTGGCTTCAGATCAGCACAGTTCTGGCCATGGTGGCCAATTAGGGAGTGAACCAGTGGATGGAAGACCTTTCTCTCTGTGCCTCTCCTTTTCTGTGTAACTCTTTCAAATAAAAAAAATAAATATTTAAAAAAAAGAAAAAGTAGTGTTACAAATGCCTGCTTGTGGATGTGGCGGGTGCAGAACCATAGTCACCCATTAGTCACATGATAGGCACAACAGGAGCTATTTTATTGCCACATCCCTTTGTCAAGCTTAACACAGTACTTGATCTGGAAGAAGGCAACAAACATTTGTAGAATTAAATGTATTATTTCCATATTATTAAATGTTTTATATTTTCACCTGTGTCACTTCTATGATTTTTTTTTGACAAGTCAGAGAGAGAGAGACAGAGAGAAAGGTCCTCCTTCTGTTGGTTCACCCCCCAAATGGCCGCTACAGCTGGTGTGCTGCGCCGATCCAAAGCCAGGAGCCAGGTACTTTTCCTGGTCTCCCATTCGGGTGCAGGGCCCAAGCACTTGGGCCATCCTCCACTGCACTCCCGGGCCACAGCAGAGAGCTGGACTGGAAGAGGAGCAACCGGGACAGAATCCGGTGCCCCAACCGGGACTAGAACCCGGGGTACCGGTGCCACAGGCGGAGGATTAACCTAGTGAACCATGGTGCTGGCCATTCTACATTCTTAATCAAAAGAAGTGAACGTTCAGACCCCATAAAAATCCTTATATTGGGGGACTATTTAGAAAAATGGATAAGAATGCACTTGGGATGCCTGCAATCCATGTTTAGAGTGCCTGGGATTGATTCCTGGCTCCGTTTCCTATGCTAGCATCCTGCAAATGTTCACCCTGGGTGACAGCAGATAATGGCTGAAGTACTTGCCACCCATGTGGGAGTGTGGGAGACTCAGTTTGAGTTCTGGGCTCCTGGCTTTGGCCTGTTCCAGCCCCAGTTGTTGCAGGCATGTGGGGAGGGAATTATTGGACAGAAGATCCGTGTGTCTTTAAAATAAAATAGACAATAAATTTATTTTTAAAACTCTCTGCATGTTAGTATCTCTGCACCCATATTACTTAGAATGTTAGGCTCTCCAATGACTTTCCATGAACTCACTTTGTTTTTTATTGCTAAATAAACAGCTCTTTTAGAGATCCTAAAGAGAATTTTTTTGCTTTGTCCCTAACTGTGTTGCACAATATGGTAACCACCAGCCATGTGTGGCTGTGGCTAATTACTTTTTTTTTATTTGACAGGTAGAGTTAGAGAGTTAGAGAGAGAGAGAAAGGTCTTCCTTCCGTTGGTTCACTCCCTTAATGGTCACCACGGCCAGCGCTGCGCCAATCCAAAGCCAGGAGCCAGGTGCCTCTTCCTGGTCTTCCACACGGGTGCAGATGCCCAAGCACTTGGGCCATCCTCCACTGCCTTCCTGGGCCACAGCAGAGAGCTGAACTGGAAGAGGAGCAACCGGGAGTAGAACCCGGCGCCCATATGGGATGCCGGCACCGCAGGCAGAGGATAAACCAAGTGAGCCACGGCACTGGCCTGCTAATTACATTTATATGAACTAAAACTTAAAAATACAGTTCCTCAATCACATTAGCCACACTGCCAGTGCTAAATGGCAGCACATGGCTAGTGCTGCAGCAGAAAGCACAGATGAGAGAACATCCCATGATCACCCTGGAAAGTTCTATTAAGAGCACTGATTCAGATAATCCAGAAAGCCAAACTGGTGGGACCAACTAGCAATGTTCTGTCTTAAGGTTTTATATTTTATATATTTATATATGACACTTTGGCTTTCTTTTGATTAAACCACGTGACAAATCACAATCATAAACCTTAATTCTTCCTAAAAACTAAACATGCTTGCCTCGTACCATGACTTTTTCGTCAGAATACATGTGCTTCTCGCATACGTATCATCAATGACAGGTCACATGCAATACACAAGATTCCTATTCTGTGAGTTGGGAGCTCAGTCTCTCCCACTCAGTGTAACAAGGATCTCAGAGAGTAGAGGACTTTTCTTTTAGACAGTGCAGTGACACCTACAACATCTGAAACAGGAGGACCAAATCTTGTTCAGATACAGAAAGGGCAGCATGTACAAATCTACTTTAGGATTTCATCTGACCAGAACTTCCAAAGCCAATGACTACAATGTATAATCGAGCTTCTGTCAAACTTGTAACTTTCCAACTGATAGCTCAGCCTGAGCTGATAGAGATTATTATTGGGGCAGGTGTTTGGCTCGATGGCTAACACTCAGCTTGAGACACCTGCACCTCTCCTGAGAGGTGCCTGGACTTGCATCCTGGCTCTGCTCCCAATCCCAGCTGCCTGCTACAGTGCACCTGGGAGGCAGCAGATGATCACCCAACTAGTTAGGTTCCTGCCACACATTTGGGAGGTCTGGACTGAGTTCCTGATCTTGGCTTCCACTTGTCCCAAATCTGGCTGTTGCAAACATTTTGGGGAGGAACAAATGGATGGGAGATGACTGATAAAGATGCAGTAAAATTTATTATGGTCCCAGATATAGAAATATCTTCACATTTTTTCTGCACCAGATTATAATGTGCTCAAAATAGAAATCGGAGTCACTTTTAAGTTTTGTCAACAAAAGTGAGACATGGGCTATTTTATAATCATCAAAAATAAGAACCTTGGCTGGCACCATGGCGCCGGGTACTAGTCCCAGTTGCTCCTCTTCCAGTCCAACTCTCTGCTGTGGCCCGGGAAGGCAGTGGAAGATGGCCCAAGTACTTGGGTCCCTGCACCCG